TATAAGGCTTTACAATCAAGTTAACGCTGAAAGTACAGACATCACTAATGTCACTTTGCCGACATGTGGCCAACAGCAATGTTTTAATGTTCTTCATTATTAAACATTCGCACATAAATTCTTGACATCATATTGAGTACTTACTTTTGACAGTTCACTCTTCGGCCGCTCCCTTCTGCCGTATTTCGCGGCAAAATTATCCACACCCACCGCCAAGCTATGAATTGTGGGATATATGGGACCACGAAGCGTGCACCGGACCACGCTTGATATTTGGGGAAATCGACGGCGCATTTGGAGTATGCATTTGAAGTACACTTCCAATTGGGACAGCCGTCGCGTGGCGGTGACGTAATCACACTTAAAATGCGTACTTCAAGCATGCAGACCCTGAATTGGGACACAGCCAGTGAGAGTCTGCCCACCGCGATCAAGATGTAAAACAAAAGCTGGGCCATCGCATCACCTTCAGCTTACTATCCAATTGGCTTTCAGGATCAGCCACCTGGGCCCAACAGAACCATTCATTTATTCTTTCACCTGCGGCTTCCTCACAGATACGATACGAAAGAAAGGGCGAGGTCATCGACATCATCATCACAGGGGGAGGGGACACGGCCGGTTCAAAGCTTCTGTGTAGTCATGGTTACACTCAATGATATGGTGAGGGTCCGGCCGCAGCTGCCGTTATCACTGCTGCATTCTGGGTAATGCTTTGGTAATCAATCACTTTATTGAACCTTTGATTTCAGACACTGAATGTGTTTCGGGACTTTGAATCGGTTGATAAATAAAAAGTTGTTTGTTTGTTTTTTATTTGATTTATTGCAGGGTTTGAACTTTAACCTTTTTCTGAGGTCACATGTCATATTTGAATCTTTTGAATAATGACACGCGTTTTCTTCAAATGTCAAAATAAAACTTCTTCCTGTTTTGATTTATTTTGTCTGGATTTTTTTTTCTGCTTCAAAAACCAAACAAATATTTGAAACAAAAAAAACAAAACAAGACTGAAAAACATTTAAAAAAAAACATTTAACAGGCTGCCTCCTGGCTGCATGCCAAATATCCTTGGGCAAGATACTAACCCCGTGTCTGCCTACTGGTGGTGGTCAGAGGGCCCGGTGGCGCCAGTGTCCGGCAGCCTTGCCTCTGTCAGTGCGCCCCAGGGTAGCTGTGGCTACAACCATCACCAGTGTGTGAATGACTGAATGTAGTGTAAAGTGCTTTGGGGTCCTTAGAGACTTGAGTAAAGCTATACAAATGCAGGCCATTTACCATTCAACTACAAGCAAGCAATTTATTTATATAGCACTTTCAGATCAGCCCCAAGCTGAACACAAAGTGCTTTACACTTGACATGCCAGAAATGATACATTAAACATGTTAAAAAAATAAGAAATAACAAAATAAGCTGATTATTAAAATGATATTTAAAATAATAAAATTAGCACAAATAGCAAAAACAATAATAAAATAGTATAAAAATGATGATGAGAATTACATTTAAAACATTAAAATCAGGGTCAGACTGTGTCATGAGCCAAGGAGTAAAAATGGGTTTTAAGACGTGTTGTAAAAGTGGACAGTGAAGGGGCCTCTTTAACCTGTTAGCAGTCGGACGTACCGCCCACGGTACATTGGATGGTTTAGGGGACTAATTGTAAATTTGTAGGACTGCTAAGGGGCTAATGTGCTGGGGCAGAGAAGGCCCCGCCCCCTCTGAGCTTCCTCTTGGACCTGGGTACCTCCAGGAGCAGACCTGGGGGGTGGGTAAGGACAAAGAAGCTCAGAGAGGTAAGTTGAGGCAAGACCATTTAAACATTTAAAAACAAACATGAGAATTTTAAAATGAACTCTAAGATATACAGGCAGCCAATGGAGTGAAGCCAAAACAGGAGAAATCTGCTCTCTCTTTCTAGTCCCTGTCAGGACTCTTGCTGCAGCATTTTGGATTAACTGAAGGCTTTTCAGGGAGTTTTTAGGACCTGATAATAATGAATTACAGTCGTCCAGCCTGGAAGTAATAAATGCATGAACTAGTTTTTCAGCGTCACTCTGAGACAGGATATTTCTAATACAGCCAACAGGGGGAAAAAATGATCAAAAATGGGTTTGTTTTAGAATCTTTGTTTCTTTTTTTGATGCTCATCAGGGAAAGACAAAAGATCCCTCAGAGAGATGTTCCACAAATGGCGGCGCTATTTTCTGGATAACTGATTAGTTAGTACATAGTGATTTTATAACTGCTGGTCTCTAATCTGGAGCACAACCTGCTCCAGAACAGGTTAGATTCATAGCATAAGTCACCGTTGCAAGTTGCATTATGTTGGATATTATGAACTTTCTTTG